ATTTGTGAAAATCTCTCTGAAATGAATCATTTAATTTCAACTATAATTGAATCTATCATATAACACTGCCTAAACTAGTGTTATAGCACCACAGTACTAAATAACAATATTCAATTAATATAGTTGAAAATGTAAATTTTACCTATAGCACCACAGTACTAAATAACAATATTCAATTAATATAGTTGAAAATGTAAATTTTACCTATAATTTTTTCTAATATGCCCTACATTAAATAATTATTTAAATAAAAATAATTCATATTTGTTAATAACAAGACACATTAAATATGAACATATTAAAAGTATGTTTGGGAGCGATTAAAATTCAATTAAAATTGAAAATATAGTCTTTATTGGATGTCACTGTCTAATAAAAGTCATCAATAATAGTTAGTTTTTCAATTTTAATCCGATTTTAATCTCTACTAAACACGCCCTAAAAAAAAAGAGATAATAACTATACCGTCAACATTGAAAGTGACTTCAAATTTGCAAAAAAAATATCCCTATCTTCATGGGACAGTAGCGTAATGTATATCAATTGTCTAAGTTTAATGTATTCCTAATTCATTATTATCCAATAAAAGTCTTGATGCATAATGTATTGGAAAATGAATTAGGGATTTATTCCCAATTTTAATTTCTAATCTACCTCTTAAAGTTACCATAAAATAGTACCTCCACCCCGTCCTCACCCATACTCCATCCACCCCACAAGCACCTCATCCAGCGGACACAGCACACGGTCAAAGAAGAGCGCAACAGACCGACAATACCGTGTCCCCTTCGTGCCACCCCCACTCATTCCCACCACGCGCAAGTGCAGGCACACTGTAGTAAAGGGGCCAATTGTAATCCAAACAGACCGCTCTTCTCGAATCAACAGAATATTTACTTTTCAGTTTTATCTGTTCTTCCTTTCTTTCCTGATTTCTTTGAGATCTCAATTGATATTCTAAAAAATCATCCATGGCCCATGCTATAATTTAGTTACAGAAAAACACGCACTTTTACATTTTTTTAAAGAAAAACAGAAATTTGGAAAGATGTGGAGGACTTCTTTTAATTTGTTCAAACATGGCATGGTGCCAGCAGTTCGCGCGAAGATGGGTGGTTTTCGCTTTATTAGATCCACTAGGTTGATGGGTCCGTCATTATGTTTCTATAGTTCCACCGTGGGCGGCGGTGGAAGTGAGAATGGTGTTGATTGTAATGGAAATGGAAATACGATGACGTATGCTGAAGCAAAGAGGCTGATGAGGCTGGTGAATGTGGAGGCATTGAAGGAGAAGCTAGGGATGGATAATAAGGAAATGATTTTATACTCTGAGCTTTTACTGGCCTGTGAGAGCTATGGTGTAGCCAAGTCGGCCGATGAGGCCGCCGCCTTCGCTCGAGTTCTTGATGAGGCCGGCGTCATTTTACTGTTCCGCGACAAAGTCTACCTGCACCCCGATAAGGTTATATAATTTGTACCATCTCTATCGGTATGAGTATCTATAAGTTTATGTATCCCCTGTTCTGTTTTTGTGTATGAGAATCAAGAATGGGGGCAGATCAGTGGATAAAGGGTCTGATGTTCCAGAAGGGATTTTTGGGATATGCATGATGTTTGCTTTATATTTGTGTTGATGGTGGGGCTCTTAACCCAAAGGCAAAAGTGATCAAAACCATTATATGAGATGATTAATGGACTATAAAAGGCAGAAAGAACTAGATTACCCTTTCAGCGTATCGAATTTGCCATACAAACTGCACTTAACTGTCTTTTGTTTCCATGTTTTCCTTTTATACTCCCTCTCTTCCATCCACCCCCACCCATGAGTAGTTTGTTATTAATATCTAGTAATCTTTGGGCTTGATTCTGTTCAGTTGCTATTAGGTAATGTTTTCATTCTAAAATCCTTAATGACTTCAACTAAAATTAAAAATCTGCATCTGTTAGTAGTGAATGCTAANCTAAAATTAAAAATCTGCATCTGTTAGTAGTGAATGCTAAATTTTTTTCCATGCCAATAGGCTAAATCAATCTTTCAGTTGCAAAAGCTGGATTTTAGGGTTGTTGGAGGTATTAACTCGTGATTTGAATGAATTACTACTAGGGATGGCAACGGTTCGGCTCCGCTCGGCCAAAACCATAACCACACCACCAAATTTTTGGTTGTACCATAACCGCACCATAACCACGTAAGTCGGTTCGGCTCGGTTTGGTTTGTATCTCAGTTCAATTCGGTTAATAACAATGAAAATAAATTATTTTTTATAAGTCCAAACTCCAAACGTCAAAGTGAAAAAAAAAATTATGAAGAAAAGTCTATAAAAACAAAAAACAATACTAAGCCAATTTAGCAAAGAATATCCTAACTTCCAAATGCAAAATTCGAATTTAACAAACAACATTATCAACATAGGTCAAGACTTTTATTAGCATATGTCAATCTTCATTCTTCCCCATAACTCATACTAGCATGGTCAATAGTCAATACTCAAAATTGATTCCTATATAGTAAATAAGAAATGTAATTAGAATAATAATAATATAACCATACTATGTTCAAAATTGATTTAAAAACATTTGTTTGACATCCTTCTGACCTCGAAGGGGACATCTATCCAAATGAGCACGTAAATGACTTGTCCCCTTTTTTTGACTCACCACCTAACTGTTTCTTGTATTGTTTACAAATTGCTTTGGGCACGTTATTAAACTCACCACCTAACTGTTTCGACACTTCTCATCAACGAAGAAAATACAGCAAATTAAACAAAAGAAAACTTAAAGTTCAAGATAAACTTGACATCAAACAAAAGTTTTGACTATAAAGTTCAACTCTTCTGCTCTGCTCGAGCCGAGTTTCTAATCAACAACCAAAAATACTTAATATACGTCTTAACTATTCCTTTAACCATTTTTTCTTAAAAATAAATACAAAAAGACGGCCATATATGTAATTAAACACAAAAAAAACCTAACATAAAAATAAACCAACAATCATAAACAGATCTTAGAATGTCCGATCCTCATGTTAAAACCTATGGTCTTCAGTAAACATAACATATATCAACATATTGGTGCATTTCGAATGAGAAATCTCCAAAATCTAATAGAAAAAAATGTTAGGTAATTAGGTTTTACCTCTGATGAGAACACAATAGGTAAGGAAAATGATTTTTCGGTGGTTTGGAGGCAAAAATTTGTCAGCATCGATTCGGTTTGAAATCTATGCGAAAATGAGGATTTCGGGTTTGGAGGCGAAAATCTGTTAGCGCCGATTTTGGATTCGCACAGAGACGCGATGGAATCAGGAATCGGCAGTCAACTGCTTTGAAATGATGATTTCCAATTTACAGATTTAATGTGGTGAATGATTTGATATATGGGTTAGGGTATAAATGAATTGGGTTGGACTAGTGGGTAATGGGCTCAATTTTTTAATTGGGTTTGTCCAAAAAAAACAAAAAACAAAAATTATCCAATTAAATTTTTTTTCTAGTGGGTAATTGGTTCGGGGTGGGGCACCGTTGTTAAATACCATACCCGCCCGACCACGAATCGGCCATTAAAAATCAAAAGCATAATTACCTCATTGCACCATCGGTTCATTTTTTTTCGCCTCATTCGGTTCGGTTAACCGTGGTTTTCGGTTTTAACAGTTCGAATTGCTATCCCTAATTACTACATAGATATCCCGCTTGTCATCTTATTGAATTCTTGCAGGATCAATTATGAAAGAGTGCTTGTTTTTAAATTAACGATTTTAGTTAAGACTTTTCTGTTTGTATTTTTTTTTTCCAGTTTCAATAAGCACGTGTCCTGTTTGGCAGCGAAAGAGGAATAAGAAAAATAAATTCTGTTGGTTTAATGAAGCTGATAGTCTGTGGTCATGCTCCGTAAACAAGATGATAATGATTTTCTAAATTGAGTTTGATTTTAAGCTGCTTTTCAGCTTCTAGTTGGTTACCAAACACGATAACCTGAACCCTTGAATTTTCTCAGATCTTGTGATGACCTTGAGATGATATGAATTTTATATTAAGTGCAATTGATAGGCACTTCAATGTATAATATTTTTCCCTGTCGAAGCTATCAATTAATTTGTCTCTCATAGTCGATATATGTGCTTAATCTGTTTTCATGATTTTCTATTTCAGGTGGTTGACCTTGTTAGAAAGGCAGTGCCTCTTGCTCTTTTACCTGAAGATGACCCGAGTAAGTATGAGCTGAAGAAGTTGCAAGAGAAGAAAGAAGAGATCGATGTTCTAGCTCATAAGCAGGTACGCCGTATTTTGTGGACTGGGCTGGGGCTTGCTGTGTTGCAAGTTGGGCTCTTCTTTCGTCTAACTTTCTGGGAATTTTCTTGGGATGTTATGGAGCCAATTGCATTTTTCGCAACCGCAACTGGGATAGTCATAGGCTATGCTTACTTCCTAATCACTTCAAGGGACCCGACTTACCAAGACCTGCTGAAGAGGCTCTTTCTTTCAAGGCAAAGGACGCTAATTAAGAAGCATAATTTTGATGTTCACAAGTTTGTGGAATTACAGAAGAAATGCAAATTACCTGCGCGCACATGTGTCTCTCTCAAAAAGCAGATGGGGATAGTAGAAGAACCAGAGGATCTTTTACCTGGCCATTGAAGCCATGTAGTTGCTTCACTTCTTCAATCATACATTTTAAATATATATAGTTTCAGAGTCAACCAAAAACTCCCATTTTCTTTGAGGGGGAAGTATACGTACTTGCTGGCCTTTTGAGCCAAATCTTGAAACTGTACACTGGTTGAAGTCTTTTTTCTAGAGTACTTGGAAAGGATTAATGCTGACTAGTGATATTCATTTTGTTAAGCTTCTAACAATCAGCTGTCGAATATTATTTCGAATTCAGATACAGATTGCACATGAATTATATTCGTAATTTTTTGATTTCTAATCTGTGATGCGCTAATTATGTGCATTTTTGAGAATCTCTCTGTCCTTGCATATTTAAACTTATCAGGAGTTGAAATAAATCAATACGATACAAGAGTTATGATGATGGTGTGTTGCGTATAATGTTCTGGTGTTATTTCTTACTCTAGCATGATGCCAAACAAAAAAATGTTGCTGTCTCCTTCTGAATTCCCTTTTGGAGAGTCTATCTGGATGTGAATAAGTTGCTGTTAATTTGGACATGTGTTCTTGAAATGTTAGATTTACCCCACATTAGTTTGTTTACTTGGTCATGGTTATACATGCAAGGATGGACCTTGGTAACTTGAGGAAGATGTGTTGAAGATGCAATTTAAATAAATAAGTTCATTTTCTATCTTAGATGAGATGATTCAATGTGAGCATATGATTCAAATTTAATTGCTACTTATTTATGAAAATTGTGCACGTACCATGTCTTGACCAAAAAATGAGTGTGATGCACACGAGGGGGGCTTTTTCGAGATATAATTTAAACAATACATTATTTTTTCTCTGACATTTTAGACTTTTAAGAAGAGGCGATTCAACTTATGGAAACTGCAATATCAAGAGGTCTTTTTAATGGGGATGCAGGAATGGGAATCATGGTAGGCTCCCTACAAGTGAAAAAGAAAATACAGAATCATCATTTGGACTATAAAAAGAAAATAATTCCTTAGAGACAACTCATCCTGGGGAATTGGGCTTTCGTACTTGTGGTGACAATGTTATGCATCTCTTACACTGCAGCCTGTTTTAGAAATCTACATGTGCTCTAAATAAGAATCTGTAACGGGCACATCTAGCAGCCTCGCATAAGAGGCATTTTCATTTATGTTACATTCCTTCAGCTGCTGGTAGTCAATCAAATTGTAATTGTTCTTCTCTGTAATATGGTTTGATTGATGACTTTTCTGAGAAGAGACTATTATGGATAAAGCATTTGCCAGTTGAGTTTTGAGTGTCAATGTTTCTGCCAGAGTTTCACTTAACTCGGATTGCAGTTGGAGAATCTGCGTCTGGAGGGTTGAAATGAGGCCAGCACAGCCATAAACCGGCTCCTTGAGCCTTGTTGTGGCCTCGTATACCAAGCTGATCACAGCATCTCCTCTATCATGTACTGGAATTTCCTGCTGAAACAAAACATACCAAATGAGAACAACTTCAGGTATGCTATCATTCCCCAGAATGAACTTAAAACTGTTGTTCCAGTTTCCTGTCTATATGCAGCATCACCGTAGTATAAAAGAAACTGAACGCTGTTGTATATAATACTATTGTCAATTTGTCATGGATAATTGACTTATCTATTATACAGAGCACCAGCATACGTGTAGTTAATGATGATAAAACCTATCATATTCGACTCCATTGATAAATTAGTATGATGGCATTTCTCTCTCCCATTGTCTCATGTAAAAGCTTAAGCTATTAGGCATGGGACTCGTTTAGCTATTCATATTTAGTCCTTCAACACATGCAAATTTAAAGGTGTGCGTAGTGTGTGACATTGGAATGGTGAACGTAGTGATCAAGAATCGAGATTAAGATCATTTACTCGTAACATTTTACTGATGTTACTGGCACCAAAGACTCGATGAACAGCTGCAAATTTCTGAGGTTCGGACGGCGGAAAGTAGGGCAAGAAGATGCAATCTTTGGTGCATCGCCGGCGGAGGAGCTTGCATGCAGCACAAGGCATAATGTTTTTGCTATATGATTCCATTGGAAGATGAGAATTAGAGCCTTTTTTTTTTCACTTTGCTGAACTTGCAGGTCTCTACTTCTATTTATTAGTACACAGCGCAGTCACATTGTTAAGGAAATTATCTGGAAGAACAATCTACTATATCTTGGCACTCCAGTTGGTCCTTTTGTTTGTTTTGATTATGCTGTCAAATTCAGGGAGAGTTTTTCTACCAAATAGAAATTTCTAGAGTTTGGGAGATTTGTTCATTATATATTTTTGGGTAAATTAGTTCTGAACTCCACAATCTTTCACATAATTTGACAATGGGTCCTCAACTTTCAAAAATGAGGTTACGTATTCCTAATATATTTAAATCTATGAATTTGTGTTCCCATGTGATTGAAATCATCATTACAGACCTTAAAATTGCAAACAGCTTTCACCCGACTCACCAATTAGACGACAAAATCATCAAGTCACTTTATATTTATCTCCAATTCAGTTGAAAGTCTTGCGTTATTTTACGTCTAAATTGATAATTTTCATCATGAGAAGCCCCAAAGTCATAAATATGAATTGGGTGGAGACTCAAAATCTACTTTTGAAGGTTGGGATCCTATTTTATATTTCCTGGAATGATATTTGAATCCAATAAGCATGTGACTTAACAGGACATTTGCAGAACAACATATCTAAGCACTGTGAATAGAATTTAGTAGCTGAATATTACATTGATTTGAGATTATAAATTTAAGTTAGATATATTTATAATCTAGTTAAAGTTTAAGGTAGTGATGTCGATCTCAAATGGATCGAGCCTGACTTTTTAAGAGAAGCTCGGAAAGGCCTGCCTATAGGCCTCGGATTGTTGGGTTTCGTGGCCTGATGCCACCAGAGGAAAGAGTATAAAACACGTAGAAGAGTTATGTCTCTTTAAAGTTTGATGTAGTGATGTAAAGTTGGTTGGGATAGACAATTTAAGAGCATGGTCGCCTACAAGCTCAGGGTGGACTGGACCAAAGGAAATGGTCTAAAAGACATATAATTCCGAGTAAAAAAAAAAAAACAAGAGTCATGCATCCTCAAAAGTTTGAAGTTGTGATATCAAGCAGGGTGGACTGGACCGTATAAGAGCACGGAGGGCCAACTATTTTTGCCTTCTTACTGCGGAATTGGGTGCTAAACCAAGAAATTGGGTGGTGTCTTCCCCACTTGCGCATACCTGATAATTTATCAAACAAAATCAGACAAAAAATCGAAATATCCAGGTGTGGGCCCTAGTCGATGTGAACTCTTGACAACATTTTCACCGTCTAAACCATATATGTATAATATATAATTATAGAAAAAATGTTGAAGTTTGAAATCTTTTTATTTTATTATAACTTATACTGAAACATTTTATTTGTGTCATCCATGATCCCAAATATTTTATTTCGCTGCATTCGAAGGACAAATGGATGGATTTCATTCATTTTCCCGTTAGTTGATCCAAAAAATTCACTTTGATAATATTTTAAATTTTCTTTTCTTTTTATTCCATTCTTCCTTTTATTTGATTGTTAAGAATTTTCGTCATTTTAAAATTGATAAAAATATTATTGAAGTCAATTTTTTAGGATCAACAACTGGGAGAATGGACGAAATCCGTCCATTTGCCTTTCTGCTGCAATGAAATAAAAGGTTTGAGACTGTGAGCAATACACCAAATTATTGGGTAAAGAACAATTTAAATTGTAGTGACATAACTATCACATTTTTATAATTTTTCTACTAAGCAACACGGATACACAAAATGAAATGTGACATAATAGATTCGTTATTTTTAAATGATATAGCATATAAAAATGCTGGAAAATATTTAATGAAAATCATAAGATTAGAAAACACTAGTTAATATTAATTGAATATTAAAGAAAATAAAATAACATTTTGATACCTTCATTTATGGAATTGATATCGAAATTAATAAAAATTGAAAAGTAAATAAAATAGCATGACCTTAAATATGACTTTAAAAAGAGAAAATTAGGTTGAACCATATCACGCAGGTCATGCATACAAATCAGGTATTTTTATTCATAAAATTATTTAATTTCAATATATTTTTAAATAATTATTTTACGATTTCACAAGTTTAATAAATCGGCTAATCTTTCAAAAATGCTGTGAGTACAGAATTTTTCTACAGAATTTTTATCAGAAATTTGAATTTTACTCACATGGGATGGACCTCATGTGATTAAAAAATTGATTTTTCTACCCACCCACCCCTATTGTTTCTATCCTGTATGGGTACAGGAATTTGAATTCGAATTCCTGTACCCATAGTAGAACTCGTAATCTTTAGGAGTATTTGGAGATAGAAAGATTTTCATCTTTCCTATTATAGACGCAAAAAAATCTCTCGTCTTTCGTTATTGTCAACCATTTTCATTGAAGAGAGGTTCCGTTCACACAGCGATTTTAGAGAGAAATGGGACAAGTGATGTGGGAATTGAGGCTAGCTTTCTAAGGCCATTTTGACAAGTGACATTTCTTATAAATTTTTACCAAAAGGTGCAACCGTGTGTTGAATAGTAAGAGGTAATTGAACTGTAATTCTTATTGATATAGATGTAATGTTACATGACGTGTTATGTGATTAACGTGGAGTTATGACTCCAATATCTCATACTATTGTCACTTTGGTGCAACCTTGGTGTACAAGGTAGGGGTTCACAAAACTAGAACCTCTACCGAACACACATAAAAAGGGGTGAGATGAGTATTTTTGGGGTGATTTTTTAATGAAGCGGGTCCCATGAGAGGTCGGCTCTGCCAAGCCTTTTATGGGCCTGGCAGAGGAGCATTATTGATCGTCACTTCTATTCATGTAGTTGAAGATAGGGATGTCAATGTGTCTCGTCGATTCAAACGGTCCGTGACTCGGTCCGAGAAAAACCCGAGTAGGGCCGACTCTTGGTTAGGTGGGACCGAGCTAGAGATGGCAACGGGG